GGCATCTTGGGTGCAATCCCAAAACATCTGGAGCACCACTTGAGCACCATCGGCATTGACAAAATCACCATCAGTCAATTGCAAAAGGCAGCTTTACTTGGAACAGCTTATATCCTGCACCAATATCTTTAACACCATCAAACAACAACATCCTTGGGTAGGACTCAATAGGTGGATAAAAATGCCAAATCCAGTCTGGATGACTGTGCAACCAACCATAATAATAATTCAGTGAATGAATCTGCTTTGTGATTATGATGTAGAATGCTGCACAAAATGGTTCACTGGTCTGATCAAGCAGGTGGTTCTTATGGTCTTTTTATTGTAATACAGCCCTTCAGGACTGGGAACTTTAGCTTTGGTATCTACAAGCCAATCTGGTCACAGGGAATACAGCATCCCTAAAGGCAGTATTTGTCTTGAGCCAACTGAAGTTTACACAATTGTTGCAAGTTTTCAAGTTCCAAGAATTTTTTTAACATTAGTTGGGTGGCTCTTCATTTCTTGCTGTGCTAAATATGACATTGGTTTCTTAAATATTTGTAAGTGGTTGGATTTTGCATGACAAAATTAGCAGAGGGTTCCAATATTTCAGCTGGCTATCAGATGAGAATGCAAATAGTACTGTTAATTTTTGCCTGTATGAAATTTTGCCTTCAGTTTATGCTCTGAAAGGTGAGTAAAGAGAAACAAGGAGCTCCAGCAGAGCAAATCGAATTCAGAATAAGAGTGATGAGATGATTTAGGGTGAAGGTGAAGTGGGAGAATGTTGGAAGAAGTATTTGAGAGACTTGAATGGGAATTATAGTGATATGTCAGAGTGGAATTGAAACAAATCCTATAAATGTTAATGTCAAAGAAAAAGCTGATGAAAAAGAAATCTTAATACATTGTGAATGTTGAAAAATTGTAAGTTTGCAGGTGTTGATGACATAACAGAGATGTTAAAATTTGGATGTGGTTTGTTCAAGGAATGGCTGTGCAACTAATTACATGTATGGAAGACTTCATCCATAGCTGACAATTGAAAGCTTGCATTATTGTTCCTTTATATAAACTAACCACCATGTAGTGTTTGCAAACATGAGACTATTTTCCTAAAGGTTATGTTGACTCAGGTTTCTTTCAAATAAATGGAATGTATTCATTCATTCATTCATTCATTCATTCATTCATTCATTCATTCATTTTCTTTCAGAAGGAAATGACAGACAGGATTTGCCACTAAAGATAATTTAGACAATGTTGCAAGATCAACATTTATATGGACAAGACATTTTGATGATGCTCCAATGGACAACTGCTAAGAATGTGAGCTACCTTAAAATTAAAATTAAAAGTGGC